TGTAAAAACTGTTAATTTGGTTAATAAACCAAATTTAGCAATACTGGCTTTACATTGTTATGAACTTCCAACCTTCCAATCTTTAAAATATTTTGATTGTTAATCGATTCTTTAATATATACATATATATATATATATATATATATATATATATATATATATATATATATATATATATATATATATATATATATATATATATATATATATATATATATATATATATATATATATATATATATATATATATATATATATATATATATATATATATATATATATATATATATATATATATATATATATATATATATATATATATATATATATATATATATATATATATATATATATATATATATATATATATATATATATATATATATATATATATATATATATATATATATATATATATATATATATATATATATATATATATATATATATATATATATATATATATATATATATATATATATATATATATATATATATATATATATATATATATATATATATATATATATATATATATATATATATATATATATATATATATATATATATATATATATATATATATATATATATATATATATATATATATATATATATATATATATATATATATATATATATATATATATATATATATATATATATATATATATATATATATATATATTAAAAAAAGTATTATCCAAAAAAAAAACTTCTTAGGTCGGTTAATTATACCCGACTTAAGAAGTAAGTTCTTAGGTCGGGTATAAATGTTTTCTGCAGGCTAGACTTATTAAGTCGGGTTCTGCCTAACCGACCTAAGAAGTTGTTTCTTAAGTCAGGTCCACAAGCGACTTAAGAAGTCAAAACTTCTTATGACGGTAATTCTTAGGTGGGGCTCGGACCCGACTTAAAAAGTCATTTTTAATCGACTTAAAAATCCTTTTTTCCACTAGTGAAGAGAGGTTATGATAGACATTAGGGTTCTAGACATGCATGATAACATTAGGTAGAGATTTCCCTTTTGTAATCCCAACTTTAGGTGCACTTTGCATGACAACTTTTAGGGTTTGGTCTAGTCCCCCTCTAGTTTGTCCCTTTCTCTTCTCATCTTCAAACAACTTCAATCCACTTAATAAAGATAATGAATGTTGTGCCATGAGCCTTATAATTGGGAAATGGTGATTGAGTGGTTACCTCTCGATTGCCTAGAGTGTTTAGTATACGTCCTTAGGACGATATGCAACGCATTCAATTCTAGGTTTTAGACTTTGTTACAACATACATTATGAACACTCTAATTCAAAACACTTCTTCTCTAAAAAACACAAAAACATTTCAAACCTTTTTTCACTCTTTGGGGTTCTTAATCAAGGAAAATATTTTCACAAAAAGAGTGTCGTTAGCTATTAGTTCTACCGCAAACGGTAACGCCTAAGTCTCCAATGGTCGAGCTGCATACACCAACTGCTAGAACTATCTGTTAACCCTACTCGGGCCTAAAAAAAGTTGAACCAGCCTGTGGTCCTTTTATCCTGAACTACGTTTGCTCTGATCTTTCATACCAGATGAAAGTACGTAGGCATAAGACGCGACGTCTTAGAGAGCAACCTTCCCCCCTTCTTTAGCCGTAGTTAGTCGAACTACGTTGACTTTGACTTTCCCATTGCACGAGGGAGTACGTAGGCCCATAGCAGCGACGCTCTGTCGAGTCCTGTCCTTTCTTTTTCTTTTGTCCCTGAGCCTTTAGCTAGATAGTTTCAACACACCCTTTTTAGATAGACAACAATGCGTGGATTCCGTCGAGTACGACGGACGTGAGGGGTGCTAATACCTTCCCCTTGCGTAACCGACTCCCGAATCCAGACATGGTTGCGATGACCTTGTCTTTCCCTTTTCCGTTAGGTTTTTCCGATTGTTTCCTTTCCCTCTCTTTGGGATAAATAACGAAAGTGACAACTCTTCTGTTTTTTTCCGCCGGTTGTTTTTCGCAATTGCGACACATGTTTATAGAGAATTTCGTTTTGAGAAGAAATCTACCAACTTCTAAATTATGTTGGTTCTCCGTTTCTACATCACAACAAATGTATTCTCCCACGCGACCAGATATGAATTTGAATAATCTTTGGTTCCACACGTGACATGGGAGACCGTAACATTTCATCCATGTGAGCCGTTTGTTATCAATATCTGCAGGTGACCATGGACGAATCTCAACAAATCATTTCTCGATCCATTATATATTTATTGATTAGCAGTATTTTATTATGTGTTTTATTATATTAATCCATTATAAATATTTGTTTCTTACTTTTCATGTATCAAAGATGTATCTCATGCTTTCTAATATTTATTAGTGACAAATATTTATAACGTGTTTTTTAAAATATTGATGACAAATATTTATCAAATTTCTTTTAATTATCGAGGAAAACATATTTTTCATGCTTTTATATATATATATATATATATATATATATATATATATATATATATATATATATATATATATATATATATATATATATATATATATATATATATATATATATATATATATATATATATATATATATATATATATATATATATATATATATATATATATATATATATATATATATATATATATATATATATATATATATATATATATATATATATTAATGTGTCAATTAATATATAAATGTCTTGTCTATTATAAAAAATAATAATTTATATATTGTAACTTTTTTTTTTTTTCATTTCTTAGAGAAATATAGAAAGTATTTAATTTAACTAATTCGATGATGATAAAGTATCTGTCTATATCAATGTTTTAAAAACTGAACCGGAGATCGAACGGATAAAACTTGCGGATTAAGGTTTAATTGGTTCAACCGGTTAAACATATGGTCGAACCGTTTATTAAATAAACTGATAAAATAAAACTAAGTTTCATAGACATGTCATGCATAATCATATGTTCATAATTTAATAAAATAAATATTTTAAAAATTCATTATAAATTTAATACAACAATATCGACAGTACATATAATAGCATGACATAGTTCTAAATTTCATTTCAACATTTATTTAAAATAATTTGACCAAATTAGTGACTTGCAATAAAATAAGTTAAACTAATTCAAACTAAAATTAAAATAATAGAATATAATAACTAAAATAAAATTCAAATAATTAAGAATACCTAAATTAAATAAAATAGAATACAAAAAATGAATTATATAATATACTTCATTAAACAAAAAAATGAATTTGAGTTGAACTACGACAAATAAGTCTTAATTGACAATAACAAACAATATTGACTTCAACGACAATCAATATTGAGTTGGACATTGTGACTATGTTTGAAAGAGACGATGTGATGATGGTGGAGTATGGTTGAAAGAAAACTATAACAGAATGACAAAACTTAAAAGTTTGTATGGTTGTAAGAAAAATATAGAATTCTTTTTTGTGATTGAAAAATGTATGTTAAGTTTTAATATTGACATATATATATTTTTTAAATGATCAATTTGATACATTTTATGGAACCAAACAGTTTTATAAAACTGGTTCTGATTCTTTGGTTCGAATGATTTGGGACAGTTCAACCCAGTTTTTTCGATTTTACTCCGGTTTTAATCCACTGACGATTTTAAAAGGTTGACCCGGGTCCAACCGGTTGAACGATTCGGTCGGTTTAAAAAACATTAGTCTATATATAAATTGTGCATTATAAAAACTACTTTTTATATTACAATTGTTCTCAGAAAAAATAATGTGAAAAGCTTAATGAAAAAAATTATTAGTGTAATATAATTATTTTTATTTTTATTTTAATAATATTGAAAATGATTCCGTGTATATAATGTCATAAATTATAATTAACTTATCATATGAATTTTGATTTTAATGTTAAAAGACATTTGTAAAGTATTAAATTTAGCTAGTTAATTAGTAATAAGTAGGACTTTTGGTAAATAGTTTAGATATAACTAAATAGTAATGAATAATTGTATTATAAACTAGTTATATGCTCCAACCATTTTTTTAGTGATTTATTTGTAAAATAGTTATCATACAAGTTATATTTAGTGTATTTCGGATTTGGATCATCTCCTTTTTTTTATATATCATGTCATCTCTTATGTTTCTAATTTAACGGTTCAGAATTTATAATAAATAATAGACATTTTTAATTTAAATTAATGAAAATATTTAATATTTATGAAATTATAAAAATATTTAATACTAAGACATTTTTAGATGGAGAAGAAATTCTGAACCGTTAGATTAGAAACATGAGAGATGACATATGTAAAAGATACTTAAATTAATTATTAATTGAATCATGTCTCTTATAAGATACTTAATTAATTGATTCATGTCTCTTATAAGATACTTAAATTAAAATCAATATATAAAAGGCAACATATGTAAAATTCAAAGAAACAATAAGTGTCAAAATTAGAAGTTGGGTTAAATTTGGTTTTATGCTAGCATATTAATATTTTATACATTTATAAAATATAAAAAAAATATTAAACTTCATTAATTATTAATTGATTATTGTCTTTTATAAGAGACACAAATTAAAATGAATATTAAAAAAAGGCAACATATGTAAATTAAAAGAAATAATACGAGTCAAAATTAAAATTAGAGTTAATTTTGGTTTTATGCTAGCCTGTTGTTTTCGTAGATTTATTTTTAAATTTTTTTACAAAAGATCCATAAAATATATTCATAAATTAATTTTTCAAAAACTGATTCTTCCATATTCAACGGTAGAGTGTAGATCTAATCAATGAAAGAAGCACAAGAGGAAAGATAGTGAACCGGTTTTGAAAAGAGGTCTAAAATAATTTAAAATGCAAACATAATTTTCTATAAGTAGTATATCCTAAAACGAAACCCTACTTTTATTTCAAACCAAAGTTTAACAGCATCCACAATCTCCCTTTTCTTGTCCGTATCTTGCCGTAGCCGATCAACCGAGAGACGATGAACCATGACGACGATGATGTATCATCATGGCTTACACTTTCACTACCATCTTCACCATCCCTCGGACCTTTTAACCCACAAACATTCTTTCATTCTAACACTACGTACCATGGTGTTCCTCCTGCTGCTGCACTTTCATACAAAGAACAAGATATGGTGAATGCATCATCTTGTCTTACACTTTCTCTATCACCACCTCAACCTCAACAGTTAGAATACGCTCCATTAACACCTTCAGTTTCTCCTAATGCTATCACTAGTAGCAATAGCGAGGTGATGGAAAGTCCTCAAACTATTCAACCACCGTTCCCACCGTTCCCATGTGCACTTTCATACGAAGAACAAGATATGGTGAATGCATCATCATGTCTTACACTTTCTCTACCACCACCTCAACCTCAACAGTTAGAATACGCTTCATTAACACCTTCACTTTCTCCTCCTAATGCTATCACTCGTAGCAATAGTGAGGTGCTGGAAAGTCCTCAAACTATTCAACCACCGTTCCCATGGGCAACTTTAAAGCCCGCCACCGTTCACACTATCAACCACTTGTTGTATGATTTGAATATTAACACTATTTCAGGTACTCTTGAATGCAAATTCTGTAAGTTTCAACAAACTGACGTTCGTTTTGATTTGCTTGAAAAGTTTGAGAAAGTGGCAAATTTCATCGAGGAGAAAAGGCCTAAGATGTTTGAACGTGCACCCGATCAATGGATGAAACCCGTGTTGCCAAATTGCAGGAGTTGCGGGCCTAAAAGCAAAATGAGGCCATTGATTGGAAAGAATGAAGAAATCAATTGGCTGTTTTTGTTTTTGGGTGAGATGATAAGGTGTTGCAATCTTGTGCATTTGAAGTATTTTTGCGAACATGCTAATATTCACAGAACTGGTGCCAAAGATAGATTGCTATATCAAACATATTTGAGTTTATACAAACAACTCCAACCACAATGACCCTTTAATCCTATTGGGTGTACTTTCTTTAAATGGTTTAACTTTTCAATTATTTGTCTGAACCAGAAGTAACATTCTCACTGATTGTTATTTGTTCGAGTTGCACTCCTTATGCGTTTTTATTGAATCCATTGCTTATAATTTTATTTATTTTTTAGTTTAGTTTAATAGAGGTTTATTTTAGTTAGTGTCTCTCTTGACATTTAGTAGTGGCAATTTTTTCTTTTCTTTATTATTTTAAGTTCTTGAAGTTTTTTTAATTGAGTATAGTGTTTTCTAGGGTTTCTAGTTTGTTTTTATGGGTTATCTTTGCCTTTATATTTGTTCTATATATTCATATTATTTGCTAAAAAAACTATTTTGAAAGTTTAATGTTTGTACATTGAAATTAAATCATTAGGTTGATCCGATTTGTTAGCTCAGGAGACTCAGTCACTGTCAGTTAAATTCATAATTCATCGGTTTATTCATCTATCTAATACAATTACAACAAACTCTATGAGAAAATATTTGATATTGTTGGAAATTATGGACAATCAATATTCATGGGAGTGTTTCAATTTGACAAAAAAATATTCAAGTGAAAATTAAATTTGAATTCAGAAATATGCCACACTTATGAAGTGTTGCAGTAGGTTTAAATTCGGAATAGTTCGTGTAATAGTCTCTAATTGGCTAGAAATGTGGAGACTTGAGCATTTATAAGTGAGAGAACCCATACACCTATTACCTTAAGGTTTTGGGTGAATATGTGGTGGGTCTCTCACAAAGGTGTTATTCTAAAAAGGAAAGTCCCACAATGGTCAATACTCCCTAGTGAAAAAACTTCGCTAACAGTGGTATCAAGCTCAATTCGAGTGAATGACCAACTCACTTGTATCGAAAGTATCCCCATAGGTGATGGATTAAATGCCCCGTTGAAGAGTGCCAACGGCAGTCCAAGTGTGCGTAATATATGTTATACTCTCACATTGACTAGAAATATGGAGGTTTGAGCATTTATAAGTGAGAGAATTCATGCACCTATTACCTTAAGGTTTCCCCCAACATGTTACAATAGGCGAATCAATGTAACTTTTGGTAAAAATACATAACTTTTGGCAAAAACCTGTAATTCTTTGTAAAAGGAAGTTGTTTCACCAAGGGCTACAACCTTGTGAAACAACACCAATATGGCCTATAAATATTTCATTTAGATTCAGAAAAATATAACAAAAAACATACATCCTCTTCACTAAAATTCTAGATATTCTTCCCTACATTTGAGTTTTAATCGGTCTTGTGCAAATTTGAGTATAGGCTAAATTATCCTAGGTACTCCTACGTTCCAACTCTAAGACATTTTAGAGTGCTTGAAATACTTTTAAGGAAAGTGATCCCGATCACGATTCTAGCCTCGATCCATTCAGTTTAAATTAATTTTTTAACACATGCATTAATCTAGTTTTTCATGCATATCATTTTAGAAAATACAATTACAACAAAGGCATATGCATTCTAGAAAATATTCGTCTATCTAATATAATTACAACAGAGTCTATTAAATTCATTAGGCTCCTTCTTCCTTTTTTGAGTATTAATCTAGTTTTTTGTGCATATCATTTTATGGCCTTGAACGCTAATAACCATAATATTTCATGTATACTCAGTTGATAGTTTGTGACTGTATCTATTTAAAGCCATATCATCATCATGCATTTAAACCCTCGGACCTCACGATTGGTATCTCAATCTATGTTCAAACCCTTTCTTTTTCATGCCAGTGTTAAACAGTTTCATGCATTTTTAAGTGTTAGTTATGTTCATTTAGTGTCCTTTTTCATTCTGGTTGTAGAGTTCACCTGGTTTTTGTGTCCGCTAGTTTGCTAGATGAGTGGTCGATTTTCATGGCTCTCCGGGGAAGGATATCTAATTATTTGCGGGGCCAAGGAGAACGAGTGTCTGTCTTTCTTTTTTACGAATTTTTTGATTTCAGTTGTATTAATTGAAATTGAGACAAGTTTTCTCTCGCTTTGCTCTAGTAGAGGATGTCTTATCCCTACTAGAAGGGATAAAAGAGGTAATCGTTTCGGTTTTGTAAGATTCAAAGAAATCTTCAGTATAGGGCGGCTAGAGGTGAAATTAGAGAAGGTTTGAGAGGGAGATTTCATATTTACTCATTTTATACCCTTTTTCTAGTTACTTAAGACACTTAAAATACTAAGTTAAGAATAAGGCAGGTTGGAAGTTCTACTACTGAAAGATACCTTGTCAAAGGGGTTATCAAATTTTTTGCTCAATAAATAGATGAGATTGAGACGCAAATAAATAGATCTATAGGTACGGAAGTATGACCATTCTCAACCTTTAATCTATCAATCATGGAGAAAACTCAAGCACATCTTTGTGTTGTCAAATTGTCCTAAGTCAAGCCTAATATTAAGCGAGTATTTTAAAGATTTCCAAATGATATAAAGTTTGATAAGATATATGTTATTAATGATACATGTAATGAATTTAAGGTGTATTTATGGATTTCATTTAAGGGTAAAAGAAGACAATAACAAAGATGGAGAAAATGATTAGTCTAGATTTCTTTGCTTGGTTTCTGTGATATTTGGGTTGAACTCTAGTATCGACTAGAGTAGCTTCATGGTTCGACAGAAGTTGTGTATGTTGTAGTCGAAGTTTGTTCGAACATACTGTCGAAATATATTAACTTGTAATTTAAGTTAGTATGTTGAATTGAGCCTTACTTGAAAGCACAATTGTTTAAGTTTACTTGTTGCTCAAGTTTGCTTAGTAGTCTATAAATAGGCTAGTCCTCTCAGATTGTTAAGAGAGGTTAATTGTTGGTATTCACTTGTAATCTTTGAACCCTTATTGAGAAAATAAATAGTAAAACAATTTTAACCAATTCTTATTCTTCTTCTCTATCTTTTGTAAAACCTAATAGGATTTCTTGTGTTTGTTCAAGAAACTCAATCTTTTTCTCATATTTTGGTTTTTTCTTGATGATATTAATTCACAATAAATTGGTGTTGTGAGCGTGGAGAAGAAGATCTTGTCAATAAAGTACAAGATTAAGAAATTCACTGGTGTGAATGATTTTGATTTGTGGCGCTTGAAGATGCAAGTCCTTCTTGATCAACAGGATTTGTTAGAAGCATTGAAAGGGGGAGAGTGGTAACACCCTAAATTTAATCAGAATATTTTAATCAATTATTTAATTGAGAATATTCGTATTTTGGTGGTCTTCGGTGGTTTTGTGGATTATTGGGAATTATGCATTTTTGGACTATCTATTTAATTTAGTATACTATATGAGAATATTAGTATTATTATTGATCCAAATGAATATAAGTGAAATAAGGGTAAATTGGGCATCATGAGGAGTTAGTAAGGGTGTTATGGGAAAAGCCCAATTGTTTGGCCCAAGTCTAAGTTTGACAAAATAGAATTCTAAAGGTTTATGATTCATTTTGTTAACCGTGAAAAGAATGGAGGCCAGAGCGCTGAGGAGGGAGAAGTGGAGGCAAAAGTTTCAGAAGGTCCCGGAGATAATCGTGAAAGCTTTGAATCGGCTAAGGCATGAGGAATATAGCTTTTCATGATTTTCCATGTATGCATTTCGATGTGTTTATGGTTGATCTAAGATTTAAGGTATCTTGGGTTGATTATGGGAAAATAGGAGAACTGATAATGAAACCTTGAGGGTTGTGGTTAGTGGTTAGTATACCTGACTGTTTGATGTGAAACATGAGAATTAGGAAACCTTAGGCCTTCGTGGCCGAAACCTTAGATTATTATATGTCCGACCATAAGGGATAGGGATATGTGATATGAGAAATTATGATGCCTTCGGAGGAATTGTAGGGAAATTGTGATTTAGGACATGAATATGTTACGGGATTGGCCTAATAAATCGTAGGATTTGTGCCTTTATCACCGTAAGACCTTAGGGATGATTTAGGGATGTTTTTGGGGCATTGGGGAAGTGAATCGTGTGGACTTTTGGGTTGATTTAGGTTCTGGAGCGTAACAGCGCTTTGCTGTCCGTCACAACTGTTCATGTTTTCGGTCAAAATTGTTTTGGACGTAACTTTTGATCCGTAAGTCTGTTTTGGCCCCCGTTCAAAGCGTTGGAAAGATAATGAACAGGGCTATAACATATTATATATAAGGGAATTGGTTTCCCAATATTTTTATATCTAATTATGTTTGAGAATTCAATTGTGTATATGTTCTATTAATGAACCATGTTCTGGTTCAGTGATGTCTTGATGTTTTAATGCTGCGATTTTCCTGATGATTTACCATGAGGGTAATTGTGATAATATGTGATAATATGATGAATTAACATGAGTGGGACTGTGAAGTTTAGGTGATTAATAGGCGATAGTATGAGGATTACCGCGAGTATAATTATGAATTAATATGTGATAATATGATGAATTAATATGAGTATGACAGTGAGTGCTATGTGATTTGTACATGATTAAATGATGATTTCTATGATGTATGATGATGATTATTATGATGAATTCTGATGACATGAGGTATGATGAATTATGATGACATGAGGTATGATGAATTATGATGACATGATGTATGAGGATGACTATTGTGATGAATTATGATGACATGGTGTATGAGGATAATTGTTATGACGAGCTATGACGTTTGATGATGATGAATATGATGAATGATGATGCACCTATTATGTTAATATGAGGATGATTTGTGATGTGTGCATCATGCATTCATGTGCATCCGGACTTCGGTTCAGGACCTCGTTTACTTTGGCTTCAATCCCACTGTGCGGATGTGAAGTATTATGATTTGCTTCGATTCTCTAGTAGAATCGATCCTATTGATGGGGATCTATGGAGGGTTGATGTCCCAGTGTCCATCGAGCTGTGGTGATTGGTACCACATGCATTGAGTTGTGTTGCATTACATTTATGAGTCTTTTTGTATGAATTATGACGTTGTGGCCTTTGAGGCATATTGAGGGATAT